CTGTAGCGTATGGTATTATGATTCCATGTCAGGAGATTGATGTGTTTAGTTCTAACAGATGATCAAGTCAACGGGCTGCAAAGTCATGATGGAATGCAGCCTGAAAAAGGAAATCTTTTGGTGAGTATCAGCTCTGAACGCGGATCGCATATTCAAATCCAGGCCGTCGAAATTCTTTCAGTGTATCGGTTACAATCGCTTGTGACAATCTCGGATTCGCTCAAAACTCTCGATAGCATATTGCGACCTCGTCAGACGACAGAAGCTCAAGGTGGCCATTTTGGCACATGGCCTTGTGGTTCAGGCTCTCTTCTTAACACTGATTGACTTGGTAAAAGACCACCTCAGCATTGACCGGGAATTTGCGGATACCATAGCGACTTATTCTCCGTCCCGCCGATCACTGCTCGCTAATTTCATTTTGACATTTCACTTCGCTGTCTCGCACGGCTCCGAGTTCTAGCTCGCGTCATGAAGTCGAGCAATCTGCTCACGGGACTCGTTCGATGGAGTGAGATCTTCAGCGCAGGGCTGAAGCTTCATAAAAGCAAGTCAGCCCCAAAATATCAATCACTTCTCCCGAGGATAATCGCGAGGGTTTGACTGTGGTTTGCGCGTTGTGCGCGTTGTATCCGAATGTGATCACCGGACACGAATCGCGGGGAAAGACGCCCACCGGTTCGGAGGAGGCTCCGATGAACTGCACAAGTATGTCACTCATATGCGCGCTTCAATCGAACATAATGGATACGTCCGAAAACTTTCTAGCTAGGATGTCATTGTATTCCACTTATGTGTCTCTGTGTCAACATGCTGTGACTGCGTGGTGCTCCGATAGCATATTGCATCAACTGCTGAAAAGCGTCAGTATATATCTCTTAGTCTTTTCCCGACTTCCACTTTGTTTCGAAACTAGTCATAGGCATATATGAGGGAAATAGGGCCGGGCCAATATCCAATTAGTCAACATACCTTAAGATACTACGTACGGTGCCGGCCTAGCAATTGATGGGATATCTATTTTTGCTGCGCCAGTGCGCAGGGGATAGTAACGATGATTTCATGAAACTCGTGTCTTAACCGTTCCCTCGAGGCTCGGAATTCGAGTTAGACCAGGCGTGTGATTAAAACTGAGGAATGCTCATGGGTAGAGGTCACGAGTGCACTCAACCCCAACGGTTGAGAAGGGAGCTGTATTGAAATACTCTGACACTCGTCTGTGCATCCTCATCTGATCCCAATTGACATCACCGTACTGTCTGGTCTACCGTTATGTTTGACCTTACATGAACCCCTTTCTAGCATGTCACTTGTGCGCTCACATGACACAACTGATGAACCACGTCTCCGTCAGTCTCTCCATGAGCCACAGGAAATGGGCCTTTCATTTCATCTGCGAGTGAGGCTCTGGTCACAATGTGAAAAGAGGCGCGGATACGTTGTATATGCCCTTGAGATAGGAATGATTATGGTAGAAATCATCTCAACTAAGATTGATAGGCAATGGTCGCTTTCGTTGTTACCTCGATCCCGATGAGCTGCATCGGAATAGGAAATCAAGAGAAGTAGTAGGTTTCGGAAGTGCCCCTGTTCTTCTCCAACACGCCACAAGTTGAATTCTGCCCTCTTCGCTTGTCAGCCTCGACCGCGCCAGAAATAGAGAGTCTGCCCACGTAACGGCAGCTGCGGAACAATGTCGTGCTAGTTAAAGCTCAGCTTATCAATCAGATACGAATCTGTGGCAACTATCGCAATTGACGAAGATCGCATGATGATATCGGTTTCATTGTACCTTAGCCCTTCATTGTTGCAGTCGGGCACCAATGCATTTGCAAGTACTGAGGATGCATACGAGTTGTGATATGCAATCAGGTATCATGGACGAGAGTGGCGTTGGGTGTTCATCGAGTTCTTGGCACAAAGTTTTCACGGTATTGAAACCGCCGTGGATCCATCTTGAATTGAAGGCGACGATCACCCGCTAGGTGTGAACAGGCTATCGATATATCAGGGGTGAGAGTCCATCTTCAAGCATTCACGCGCGACGCCCGCTGTGCGTGGGCCTTCGAAAACGGCTTTTAGACCATTGCTATCCACAGCGTCCGAGATCGTCATCCCAATACTTCTCGTTTGTCGATTAGGTGGATACAATCTGGCCAGAACCCTCGACTTGGAGGGTCACGCGGCGTTCATGATGTTTTGCAGATGCATTTTGCCCGACAGTCTGGGTGCTGCGGCTGCTGTCAGGACTAAATTCCTATCAGTCTTGGGTCCGCAAAGCTGACTGATAGCCTTGGCGGCAAATATTGCTTCACCATGTCATTTTTCTCCTGGACAATTGTGACAGCGAAAACGAGAACAAGCGCGTCAAAAGACCGCAACGATCTATCTAGCTTTCCGCCATAGTCTTCCACTTCATCGGCTATTGATAAGTCCGCATCTTGACCTGCCAACCTCTGAATTGCCGCGCAATCGCGGGCTCCCGCTCGGATATGTTTCTGCGTTTCGATTTACCTTTCAAGGCTTACATCTGCATTCAGATTTACGAGACAAGAGAGACAATAGTCACAATACTTCTCCACTTAGGAGGTGGCTGGTCAGTGCACCCCTGTTATTTTGGGCGGACCGCAAGCCACCAAGTGAGAACTTTATTATAGTATAAATGGAACAGCTTTTGAAGTCTTGCGTGTGCGTTTTGACGTACTCCGCAAATCCCCGTGTTAGAGGGAGTGCTGGGTAAATTTCTGCTCGATTGCGGGTTCTATGCAAGATTTATCCCGGATATCCAGCCATTTGCCCAGTGCCCTACGAATTGAACAGCGCCCGGTGTGGCATCTGGCAGGGCCTTGCTGGATTGAGATCGCCGACGTTGTGGTTTCCATGCCGTATTCGTACCTTACATAACTCAACCGGCCGAGTCCGATAAAGAGAGAAAGATTGCTCCGAATCTTAAATCGGGTTCATTTTCATGTCCATTACGGGGCTGAGCGGTGTCGCCGACGGACGCCAATATCGTGAAACCCCCCGAGACTTCCATGTCAATAGAACAACAAGCGAGACAGTGGTGCCGTAAGCGCGCGGGCGCCCGCGGGTTCCATCATTACAAGCGAAAACAATTAGATCACTGAAGGGTCAAGGCTTATGAATTGACATGAAATTACGGGCGTCTCCTGCACTTTACAGTCTGACGAGAGGCAGGTTGCGTCAGTTGTCTCCCCAACGACAAGTTCCAGCAAGATAGGCTAGATACTCCGTAGTTGACAATTGTCTGTGCGATCACAGCAATTAAGAAGGTTTTTTTTGAATTTCTGAATAAGGAAAATACTTACGGTGCACTCTGAGCAAAGTAGTGGACAAGCCGTCTTTACGAGAGAAAGCAAAAGATATGACTATGAACTCATCATCGCCATAACGATTAACCCTGTTCGCCACGAGCTCGCACTTCGTCGCGCGAGAAACAAGATCTCGCCCAGCCGCCTCCAATGATACCTTCTGACTCGCAACGACACGGTTAGCCGAGCGCTTGAAAGGAAGTACGTTACCGACGTTATGGCACATTATGGAAATTTCCCCATCGTGGGTACGAGGACATGACTCCAGCAAAGGTTACACAATCATCTATGTACGTTCTTGGAAATGACGTGACAATCCTTGCGAAGAAGTTTCCTCCCTCTTCTTTCCAGAAGAGCCGCCGGGTGCGCTTATGGCACTTGTATGCGCCGCCCATAGAAGGGTGCCACTTTGGTCCATATCAACCAAGCCAAAGGAAAATCGGCTTCAAAAAAAGTCCGTCGAGGCTACTCACCGCCCTCCCACCCAGCCGTAATAGGTGACTAAGAGCTTCAAGTTCTTCTGAGCATGTTTTTTATCTTGTTTCAGATCTCGGTTGAATGCTACCGAGCCAGCCTGTAATTCCTGAAAGAATCCTCGTTGTCTCCTTTTCCACATCGGGGACCACTTGGTGCTTCTATTAGAGTTTGGAGCGACGCTCGACTCCACTCATTAAACTTTATTCCTCACGTGCCTGCTGCTTCCAGTGCGTTGTCTGTTCGCTTGCGTGGGCTGCATATTTCGCATAGCCGTACGACCAATTTCTCCGTGGACATGGGGCGACGTTAGTTTTTTCGTCTAAGTGCCATCCGCAACCCACGTTCCGTATGCTGCGATGAAGATCTCAAGGGTTTGTGAGAGATAGCTTCGAAATCGACAGGCTGTTAAGATCAACCGAAATTCCGAAAGCGACGCCGAGCCGCCCCTTATGAGCTTCTCTTTTGGCCTGTCATCGCCGAGAAGCTTTCATGAGGCGATCTCTTAGGCTCTTCTATCCCTTGCCCCCCACGGCACGAAGGCATGGGTGGGCTGTCCTGCAGGCACAATGCCGATGTCTGTGGTTACTGTGGATAGGTGGTATGAGTTCGGGAGAGGGGGATAAATGGACGAATTAGGCTGCTCGGCCGAACGCCGAACGATCCGGATCCCTGGCCGTTTTGGACCCCAAGCACGGCGTTCTCTACACTGTTCCTTAGCTTGGCAGGGTCTCTTCGTCAACTTCACCTTGGCATGAGCAACCTCACTCGTCGACTGATTTTAGAGTTCTCACTCATCGGCAGAGGCTTAGCCAAACCAGGCATGGGGTGAGCTGCCATATGGCATCTTGACAGATGAAGAGAGGCATGGTTCTCCTGGCCTTCCCGGACGCCATCCCGCAAGCTAAGAACGTTGCGCCCGTTGGGCTTCAAGGCTCCCCAGGGAGGCGTTACCCCGCGGACGTCGGACATCTCATGCCGGACATTGGTCTACTAGCGTTTACCGCTCGCTTGTACAAGTAAAGAAGCCAAGCCAAGAGTGAACATTCCACGATGGCTCATAGACCACCGTAGCCTTTCTTTTTGACTTGTCTTTTGGCGGAGGAACAACCTGGGTTCAACGGGCAAAGTCGGCAGGCACGACGGTCATGATAATCTCATAATCATCCCAATAACCGGCAACTATCCGCAATCATGTACACACGAACACACACTCTCTCGCCGCTCCCGACGGTTCTTCGACATGGGCTCAAAGCCGTTGTTACGCTCTCTTTTTTCTCTCTCGTCACTTCCTTCACACTCCTGGTATACCTAATTGGCAGACTCGTATGTTGGTATCGAAGGACGAGCCCGAAGAAGGAACAACAACTGTCTGCCATCACCACACAGGTTCCAGTCATCGCCGGTCTACCTCACGAACTCGAGGCTCAGTATAACGCAAACGGACAGACGAAGGGATCAAGAGTCCCAAATCAATTTCTCATTCTCCTACTCAACGTGCTCTTCGCCGATGCCATCCAGGCCTGCGCCTTCTTTCTCGACGTTGTCTGGTTGGTAGAGGATAAGATCACCGACGACTCGGCCGCGTGCTGGGCCCAGGGATGGTTCATCTCTACGGGTGACCTGGCGTCTACCGCCTTTGTGGCGTTTATCGCAGTACACACCTATCTCACCCTTGTCAGAGGTCTCAAGATCTCGTGCAAGGCCTTCTACAGCACCATCTTTCTTTTGTGGTTCTTTGTTTTGTTTATGTCTGTACTTGGGGTGATCATCACCAACAACGGCGCTGGTAAAGGTGGTTTCTATGTCCGCGACATCACCTGGGTAAGGACTTTTCTCCGGCTCGAGCTTGTCGTAAATCATATGCTTACTTCAACCTTCACAGTGTTGGATCAACTCAGAATATGAGGCTATGCGGATGTACTTGCACTATGCCTGGATGCTCACTCTGATCATTACGGGAACCGTATCGTATGTCTTGGTCTTCATCCACGTTCACCGGGCAGACAAGGCATTCCGAAGCGCCAGAAAGGCAGCCACTGCTGCCGAAGAAGCCTCATGCGACGGCGTACTGAGTCCCACGACCTTACCGAACGTCATGTCGCAGCACAACCAAAAGACAGAGGTCCACAAGCGCATCCTCTTCCTCTTCTACCCCATTGTCTTCCTCCTATGCACAGCGCCGCTGGCCCTGGGACGTATCCTCAGCAGCGGGGGTATCAAGCTCTCGGCAGAGTACCTCATCTTCGCCGGCTGCATGATCACCTCCAACGGATGGATCGACGTCCTCATCTTCTCGAGCACGCGTAGCGGCATTCTCTTCGACGCGCCCGTCGACGAGCAAAACGTCGGCCTAGACACGTTCAACTTCACGCCCCTGGGCCAACAGTACGGCCACAGGGTCTGGATTGAGGGTGGCGCTTCGAAAGACGACTCGCATAACAGGAAACCAAGCGTATTTCGCAGACCCTCACGCCGCGCCAGGCTTGGCTCAGAGGCCAGCCACGACCGTAGCGAGAGCCAGACGTCGTTGCACGACCGGGATGTGTCTGGCCTGAAGGGCATTCAGATGGAGACTGTCACTCGGATCTTTGTTGAAGAGGTGGACCCTGCGAAGAATAAGAAGTACGCTAATCGGACGTTAAACTCGATGCCATCTGATGAGAGCGTTGGCGAGCGCGTGCAGCAGAGCATAGACTCCTACAGATGAAGTGCTCAAGTTGTTCGTCGCGCTCACCCTGCTGAGTTCGATTTCGAGAAACGTGGTCGCTGACGAGATTGATGCTTCTTGGATCGGCGTGACTCACTAGCTGCGTTGTGGCGTCGTGGCGGTGAACCTGTTACTTGGGCTGAAGACCAGAAAAGCTGCTGTCTCTCCGTCGACATCTCAACCGGTGTTGGCTCTGGATTGCTCCCTCATCATCCATATGCAACACATCTGTCATCATCAAGTGAGTTGAAGATGGCTCCAACCACTCATCAACCAAGCAGAGGCCAAGCTTCGGAGACAACGCCCTTCAGACAGATTAGGGCCCACTTCGACGATGAGACCATCACTATCTACCAAGCATACAACGCCGCCATCGCAGAGGCAGCTGTCACTGCTCAGAAACTCGACGCATCCCCAAACTTCAAACTTACCCGCATGACCTGGATCAAACCAAGCTGGGCATGGATGCTGTACCGCGCAGGTTATTCATACAAAGATCGCGGCCAGGAGCGCATCTTGGCGATCAAAATGACCCACGCCGGTTTCATTGACCTCCTTCGCCATAGTGTCCTTACACACGGCGGCGATATGCATAAGGGCGATGGACGGGTGCGCGTTCAGTGGGATCCGGAACGCAATGTGCGATTGGAGAAGCTTCCGTATCGGAGCATTCAAATTGGGATCTCTGCTGGTATCTGTGGAGCTTGGGTTGCTGAAGGAATTATCGGCATCGAAGATGTGACGGCCAGAGCGCGGGAGTTGAAAAGAGTCTTGGACGAGCGGCCTGATGTCGGTGATGATGAGCTGTTGGCGTTAGGCCTGGTTCCCACTGAGAAGGAATTCTCAGTCCCCGAAGACGTTGGAGATATCTTGGGAATAGATTCCTTCCTTGAAAGTAATTAGCTTTTGATAACGGCGTTAAAACACCAATCCCTTGACCATTGAGCAGCTACCAGGTATTTGACTCAGATGAACAATGAAGCCCACTTGCGGACGAACGGTTGGTTTGATGAGATCTCTCAAATCCTTGGATAAAGGAAATTCGGCGTCAACTACACTGGAGTTCAAACTTTGCTCAGTAACGCTATCCCAGAAGAAGAAGAGAGCCTAGCATATGAAAAAATTCTTCCCTCCAGCTTCCCGGAGATCTGCCGAACGTCAGCCGTGTTCAGCTCCGGACTTGTCCCCGAAGAGTGGGGCCGGCTCACCGGACTTTAGCAACTTAACCGCATTCCGCTTATCTCCAGGTTACCAGGGTTCCCGGTGTTGTCACCAATCTTGTCTGCGATCCTCCCTTGGACCCTTTGCTGCAACCAAAGTTGAATGAGTCACAGCGGCCCTCTGTTGTGCTACCTGCCTGCATGCATGTATGCGTTGATAGCACGCGTCGCTGGTCAGCCGGAAGACAATCAAAAGGCGGATGCATCTCGACTTCACTTTGAATCGGAGCTTTCACAAGCCATATCCTAGAATGACAACCTAGGCGCGGAGTATCGGCAGAATTTCCCAAAACTCTGGCTGAAATGATAGTGAGGGGTCGTTGAACTCAATCGAGGGAATCTAGGAAGATTTCGAGATGCAGACGAGAATCAGTGACACCACGCACATCCAAGACTCTGCTTCACACCGCCTGTCAAGGCGCCTCCAGTCGTTCATTCTCTTTTTATCATTAGTGCCTCCTCATAAGATACGAGATATGCGTAAAATTTCCTGCCAGCTGCCCTGTGCTGCGGCACAAGCACCACACGTTCTCGGCTCGTCGATCAGCTTGGACCGCAACATGTGGGGCGCGTCAGCAAGCTGCAGTTGAGTGGATCGTGTCGAGTTGTTAGTCTGGACGGCAACGAATTCTGAAAGCTGTCTGTTCGTTCGGAGTTTGTTGATCAAACCAGAGACCTCTTCAAGTACTTCGGTGTCAAGAGTAGATCTAGTCATCAGCTCTTACGAAAAATGTTGGTGCAAAAAAAGGTATCTGCATTACATATTGTAACATGGAGCGGCAACGACGCTCGGGTAGTTATATGTGCAATGAAACAATACCAAAATCAGGGAAACAACGGTTATAACAGAGAGAAGAAGACAGATCCTAACGGCCAGTGGCCGAGTTGGAAAGTCAATTGAGTCATGGAGATCGCCATCCCTCCTAAAATCCGTGTCGTGCTTCAAACAACGGCACAAACAGCATGCTGTGTAATACTGGGTGCGGGATCCGCCACCACGCTAGAGACGCCACGGCGAAAGTCGAAAGCAAACCCGGCCCCACCCCCAGAGGAATTTGGATTCCGTCTGTGGTGAAAAAAAGGGAGCTTGGCCGTTTGGGGATTAATAATGGACGCTTGTATGAGTTGCCGGAACGAATGCACATGCAAGTCCTCGTTGGCTGGAAAATAATGTTGGGCTTGTATGTCATCATAGCAAACTATGCGTGGGGTTTCCTCCCCCCTCAAGATAAGGGTCCCATCGACTCTTTCACTCTCAGCGTTGGTCATAAATGTTTCCCACGGAGCAGATGAGATTTGATCTGCTCCACAGGGCTTGTTACAACCCTCTTTAGGTGAGCCCTGCATGCCCTATTCTGATTCAAACCCCTTGCTGCTAATGCTGGCAGACCGTCGCGGATTACAAATTTTCCTCCGCGGAGGGCACGTTGAGGACGCTAATGGCAACGCTGCCGGCCGGTGGGCTACATCATGTGGAGTGTCTACCTTAGCCTTCAAAGACTTGACATAATAGACAGGGTGCATTCGATACGCTTATTTGTACGCCAGCTGGTTCACAAAGCTTCTTGAGCCTGACGTCCAAGCCTTCTGCCATTGCTGCTGTTGATCATTTGCATTTTCCACCTCTTTGAGATTTTCTTATCCAACTACCTTGACCTACCTGATCGACTCTCAGCGTCCTCAACTTGACCAATAGACTTTCGTACTCACAGAGATACCCTTGTCTTTCTCATTTTCTATTTCGACAACAACACCATGGCGGGGGCCGCGAGACCAGAGGAAGACGGCCGCTGGGGCGAAAATGCGGCAGGCGAAATCTCAGTAAACGCCGCACTGGAGGAGTATCACGATCTTGAGAAGGAGTTGAGCACGATTCAACACCGCCATTCTACTGCATATCAACGGAAGCCTTCAGAACACCATGGCGATGCCGGAGGAGAGAGTGACTCGACAATCGCACCTAGTCTATCTGGCAATGACACATTCGACCTGCCCGACTTTCTCAGGAGGGGAATCATGGACATGCGCACACCGAGCGGCGGGCCAGCAAAGAGACTAGGTGTTTCTTTCAAGAATTTGACAGTCAAGGGCATCGAGTCATCGACGAAGCAAGTGACGACGTTTCCCCGAGATCTAGTCAACACATTTGGACCGGACTTTTACCATTTCATCACTGGCATCTTCCCCAAACTAAAGATTCACAAAGAGCCGACTGTCGATCTCATTAGGAACATGACAGGAACGGTGCGACACGGGGAGATCCTGCTAGTTCTAGGGCGACCAGGTTCCGGATGTTCGACTTTTCTGAAGGCCATCGCCAACCACCGGGACGAATACGCCAAGGTCGATGGAGATGTACATTATGGCGTTATACCGGCAGAAGATCAACTGGAGCGATACCGAGGCGAAGTCGTGTACTGCGAAGAGGACGATCGGCATTTCCCATCGCTCACGGTCTGGCAGACTTTGTGGTTCGCTCTGAAGACAAAGACACGGAAAAGAGAGCAATGGACGATCCCACTGATTCTCGATTCGCTTCTTCAAATGTTTGGAATAGATCACACTAAGAACACACTGGTTGGCGACGAACATATTCGAGGTGAGCAGGTCAGGCCTTGACAACCTTGAGCCAGCCCCGACTGACTCTTTTCAGGTGTTTCTGGAGGGGAGCGCAAGCGTGTGAGTCTGGCTGAGACACTAGCCACACGAGCATCTGTTGTCTGCTGGGACAACTCTACCCGAGGACTCGATGCCAGCACGGCTCTCAGTTTCGCCAAGTCGCTCCGCGTCTACACTGATGTTAGCGGGAGGACGACCCTCGTGACGCTCTACCAAGCTGGAGAGTCAATCTATGAATTAATGGATAAGGTTCTTGTCATAGACGACGGACGCATGCTTTTCCAGGGACCTGGTGATGAGGCGAAGAAATACTTTGAGGACTTGGGATACCTATGCCCTCCTAGACAGTGAGTGATAGTAGACCTATTATCGATTGGTTGAGAAGCTAACAATCCTGCCCATCAGAACTACTGCCGACTTTCTCACTTCTATCGCCGACAAGAACGCCCGTCATTTCCAACCCGGCCGAGAAGAATCGGCTCCAAAGACACCGGAAGACCTTGAACGGACATTTTTGGAGAGCGAACACTACCAACGCATCCTGCAAGATGTTGAGGACTACGAACGAGGCAGCAGATCAGCGAACAACGACAAGCATCGCATGTTCGCAGCCACCGTCAAGGATGCTAAGAGCAAGACCGTCATCGGCGATTCCATCTACACCGTCTCGTTTTTCAAGCAAGTGGCTGCCTGCACCAAGCGCCAGGCATGGCTTCTGTGGGGTGACCGGAGCTCCTTTTACACGAAGCTCGCCATCATCATCGCCAACAGTCTCATCGTCTCATCGCTTTTTTACGGCTCCGGACAGGACACGTCTTCCGTCTTTGCGAGAGGCGGTGTTGCTTTCTTCTCCATTGCCTTTATCGGATGGCTTCAGTTTGCAGAACTCGTCCCTGCGATTGATGGTAGAACAACGATCGAGAGGCAGCGAGTGTTTGCTTTTTACAGGCCATCTGCTGTAGTCATTGCGAGGATGCTCTTGGACTTCCCACTGGTCCTCATCATGACGCTCTTGTTCTCCATACCAGTCTACTTCTTGGCGGAATTCGACGTTGACGCCTCCAAATTCTGGATCTACACACTCATCGTGTACACGGCTACCTTTTGTCTAACAACCATGTACCGGATGTTCGCCTCACTGTCTTCCACCGTTGACGATTCTATCCGATTCGTTGGCGTCGGTAAGTCCGCTTTTCCAGCTCAGTAACTCTCTTGAAGATCATTCTAACTGACAATATCAGTTCTCAACATCATGTTCATCATGACGGGATATGTCATCCCCAAACCAAATCTCCTCAGCGACGCTATCTGGTTCGGCTGGATCTACTACATCAACCCTGTAGCCTACGGCTTCGAAGCACTTCAAGCCAACGAGTTCTTTGGACGAGAAATGCAATGCAGCGAGTCTCAGCTCGTGCCACGCGGCCCCGGATCCGATCCCAACTATCAAGGCTGCAGTCTTCCTGGCTCAACTATGGGTAGCACCGTCGTCAGCGGTCCTGACTATCTACAGGCTTCGTTTCAATAGTAAGATTCGCATGCCAGTTTCTCCCTCGTGGGTTCACACTGACATGATGTAGCTCGAGAGCGAACCTATGGCGCAACTTTGGCATTATGATCGCCTTCACCGTCTTCTTCCTCGCCATGACCGTTCTGGCTGTTGACACGATTAGCTTCAAGGGATCCGGTGCCCAGTCCCTGATTTTCGCGAAACCCCGTGATGACAAGAACGTGGACAACGAGAAGAGCAGGCCTGCGGAAGAGACCGACGAGGCATTTGAGCCCATCGGCGACGGCCAAAGTGTTTTCACATTCAAGGACATCAACTACACAGTCCCTTACGGCAACGGTGAACGGCAACTCTTGAACGGCGTCTGTGGATATGCCAAGCCTGGGAAGATGATTGCGCTGATGGGCAGCTCGGGCGCTGGCAAGACGACTCTTCTCAACACCATCGCCCAGAGACAAAAGATTGGGGTCGTTACGGGGGATATGCTTGTGAACGGGGCTAGCTTGGGGCCTGAGTTCCAGAGAGGCACTGGTTTCTGTGAGCAGAGAGACATCCACGAAGGTACCGCCACGATCAGAGAGGCATTGGAGTTTTCTGCGCTTCTTCGGCAGGAACGTGCGATCCCTCGTGAGGAGAAGATTGCGTACGTGGATCGGATAATTCACCTTCTGGAACTGGGTGATTTGCAGCACGCCATCATATCTTCCTTGACAGTGGAGCAGAGGAAGAGAGTCACGATTGGAGTTGAACTCGGTAAGCCTTCTACCTATTGAAGTCCTCGCTTCACCTGGGAACCTCAACTGACATACGACTAGCTGCTAAACCAAGTCTCCTGCTCTTCCTTGATGAGCCCACGAGTGGTCTCGACAGCCAATCTGCATTCTCCATTGTTCGATTCCTCCGAAAGCTATGCGACGCTGGGCAAGCCATCATCTGCACAATTCACCAGCCTTCTTCCGATCTCATCGAGCAGTTCGACATGATCTTGGCCCTCAACCGAGGCGGCAACACTTTCTATTTTGGCCCCGTCGGCACCAATGGCTCAGTTGTCATCGACTACTTCACACAGAGAGGCTTTCCTTGCCCCCCAAGCCGCAACGTCGCTGAGTTCATCCTCGAGACGGCATCACAACCGTCGATCAAAGATGGCCAGCGCATCGACTGGAACGAGGAGTGGCGCAATTCGGAGGAGCACAGAGCCATTGTTGCAGAAATCGATCAGATCACTGCCGAGAGACGGGCTCCGCCAGAGAGGTCGACGGCGCAGACGGAGTTTGCGGCCTCGACTGCCTACCAGTGCCTCCTTCTCACGAAGAGGATGTTTGTTCAACACTGGAGAGAGCCCCAGTACATGTATAGCAGAGTATTTGTGCATACGATCATGGGTATCTTCAACGGATTCGTAAGTTTGGCAACTGGTTCTCTCCTGAATTGTGGCAGGTACTAACTTCTTCTTAGACATTTTGGATGCTTGGAAACGACATCGCAGGCATGCAGAACCGCATGTTCAGTGCCATTATTCTCATCTTCTTCGTACCTCCCACAGTTGTCAACAGCGTCGTGATCAAGTTCTTCCAGAACCGAGATCTGTGGGAAGACCGCGAACTGCCTAGTCGCACATATGGCTGGATTGCATTCTGCACAGCCAACGTTGTTTGTGAAATCCCCATGGCTATCGTATCTGCCACCATCTACTGGCTGCTGTGGTACTTTCCCGTCGGCTTCCCGGCTACTTCGTCTGTCTCTGGCTACACCTATCTCATGGTTCTCGTCTGGTCTCTGTTCCAATCCAGCTGGGGCCAGTGGATTTCCGCCTTCGGGCCCTCATACTCCACCGTGTCAAACGTAAGCAACTGAAGCATACTTGTGCTCCGATTTCTTTCTAACATTGACATCAACAGATCCTGCCCTTCTTTTTCGTCATGATCGCCATCTTCAACGGTATCTTGGTGCCTTATGCCTCCATGCCCTCATTCTGGAGGTACTGGATGTACTACATCAACCCAACAACCTGGTTCAGCCGAGGCGTCCTCTCGGCCGTCCTCCCACCGGCAGTGGTGCAGTGTAGCTCCGCAGAGTTTGCCAGGTTCAATCCGCCTCCAGGCTCAACCTGTGGCCAATATGCCGACCGGTTCGTCAATGAGGTCGCGATGACGGGCTACCTGGAGGACCCTAACGCGACGTCCAATTGCGGCTACTGTCCATACAATAACGGCGGCGAGTACATGCAGACGCTCAACGTCCACAACAGCGATAAGTGGCCAGCTTTTGGCATCTTGGTTGCCTTTGCCGTTGCCAACTGGGCTCTTGTGTACTTCTTTGTTTACACTGTTAGAATCCGGGGATGGTCTTTTGGGATTGCGACGATGACGAGATGGTGTTCAAAGCTTTCAAGCAAGATCTTTGGGCGCGGCAAGCAGAGCACCACCGAGCGTACTGAAGCTTGATCTGGATGGAAGTACATAGAGTAGACTCGATTGAACATCGCGAATACGTAAATCATCTGTATAATAGTAAGACCCAATCCTTCGCAGCTTGGGGTATCCGTCTTCCTCGCATCATATGCCCCAAACGAGACTTGCTTGGCTTGCATCCAGCACAGCCGAAGGAATACATAGGCTCGCTGCAGAATGACGCGACTGTCTTCACTTCGAAAACGACAGACGAATGAAGATCTTGGACGTTCCCGTGTGACACACCCCCACCGGCGCTAGCTGCTGAGGCTTCTTGCAGACCGAGATCGACGTCTTCAGTCGGGGATTCTGAGACATTCATTTAGTACTGCGGCCCGTCGCGCCAGGCAACCTACCCCCATGCTCGACGCGTTTTGCAGAACATCAAAACCGGGCTGTCGCCTCTGACGCTTGCCATCAAAGGAGCTTGGGTTCGTAGCTGGTTCTTTGATTCTGTGCCTGTCTGTCTGTGCCTCTGATCGGAGTGCATCGCGCTTCGCCATGTCTTTGAGCACATTTGGAGGGGATGCCATCATTGGTGAGAAGCACGAATCTCAGCCTACTTTCGAACATGTCCCCGGCGCTTCTCTTCTCAAAGGGTTCCCTGTGTCTGCGGACATAGAGCGATGGTGCTACCGACACAGATCGCGGGATGGTACCGAACCAACGCTAGGGGTAATATACTTCGACACTGGTAGCGATGCGAAAGAGTACCTGCAGATCAAAGCCGAGGTGGCTGCTAAGGTACATACATCACTCTACCTAGTATGGATTGAGAGGATTGAACTAACATTAAACTATTTAGGCTGGAATTCGATACATATCACATCGACTTGCGCCTGACGCGTCGGCCGATGAGACGCTCGATAAAATTGCGGAATTGAATGAAGACGGAACCACCCATGGCATTCTAATACAGCGACCTCTACCACACCATCTCGAGGAACGCGAAATAATGGGTAGCATTCACACCAGAAAGCACATTGAGGAATACGCAAAGGGATATGCGACCAATATTGCAGCGGATGCCCTGAGACGGCTACTTTACGCCTACCAAAAAGCCTGGATGCTCGACCTGACCATCGTCCTGGTGGGAGGCACTAACATCATCACGCCAGGCTTCAAGGCGGACTTGATGCGCCATCTTCCCCATGTCGAAATCCTGGAAGCGATCGATGGTAAACTGGATAGCATCGACTGGAAGGACTCCAAGCGCCACTTCGTTATTATGACAGAACGGAACGAGGGCGGATCCATCAAACCGAGCATGATTGGATCTGGGGTTAAGCTGGTAGTTGACCTCGGTTTTGATGTGAAGACCAAAATGGGTGATTTGGATCCTGGAGTGCACGATATTAGCAATCTTGTTGTCGTGCCTACTCCAGGAGGAGTGTTACCGGTCATCATTTGGCTCATGATGGAACGCACTATCAAGGCAAAGAGACACCTAGACTCCCCCCGAATGTGCTATCCTCTAGGCATGCAGGCTGGATGTACAGTCTCCTAAGCACCCCTGATTATGGCGTACGAAGTAGCCAAGTACATAACGCTATCTTCGACATTAATCACTAATTCAAACTTCTAAGAGCTTGGTAGCTCGAGTCGAACACTGAATAGATTAGATATCGATGTTTCATGCCTTTTCCACCTCGCTCACTCCCATACTAACTTCTTTCGTCAACTCATCCCCTTGAATCAATCCCAACTGTTGCCTGATAATTGCCATTCTGGTCATGTCCGCCTCTCCTTGATTACCACCAAAAAGCTTGTCCATCTCTTCGATCCGAACTCCCTTGGTTTCGGGAACGAAGAAGTAGACCCATACAATTAGAATTACACAGAACGCTGACAAGTTAGTATTAACTCATGCACTCGACAGTCCAAGGAGTTTCTGACTTACCTAGGAAGAAGTAGAATGTGCCGAATGTGATCGCCTCGAGCATTCGGGGAGTGATGAGAGCAACGATGAACTTTTGAATGTGAGCATTGCGTGCAAGACTATCAGCATTTCGTGTTGACTTACGTTGCTCAGCCAATTGGTTCCAATCGCAAGACCAACCGCTTGGGATCGGACTCCAGGCGGGAAGATCTCCGAAGGCACAATCCAGTTGACGCATCCGATGCTGAAAGCAAAATTGGCGATGTAGGCCCATATAAAGAACGCAGCAGCCCACCCAGCTGACTTATTGCTTGCCCAGCTGTCTTTGTAGACAGCATAAAGAGTTCCAACAATGAGTTGGGAAACCCCCATGCCAACTCCGCCGATGAGGAGGACTTTCTTCCGCCCCCATCTGTCCATGAACATGATGGCGGGGATGGTGGAGAAGAAGTTAATGACCCCAACGACACCAGTTGCTAGTAGATCTACGGAGTTGTCTGAGAGTCCTATGTTCCGGAAGATTGTCGGCGAATAATAGATGATAGCGTTGATGCCTCGCCTTCTTGTTAGTCATACATTAAGAAGACGCCGAGATTACCACTAGACTTTGGATACAACCAAGTAGTACAATCAACTCAGATATGGGACATACCGGTAAATTGTTGTATGAGTTGAAGGAGGCAGGCAATCACCAAGCGACGATTGAGATGGCGAACAACGAATAGCGACTTGTATCTCTCCAACGTGAGTTTCAGGCGTGAAGTGACGCCAGGAAACAACTCGGCGGTTGTCTCGATGTCAAATCGGGCTGCGACCTTGATCTCTGTCAACTCGAGCTTAAGCCGAGCATCTGTTGGGGGGACACGCCGGATGCGGACAAGGGTGGCAAGCGCATCCTCCTCGCGATCTAGTAGTTTAACGTAAGTATACGGCTAATCGCCTAAGGTTTCGATCATTCATACCTTTCATCAAAAGCCAACGCGGGCTGTATGGTAAAAAGAAGGTCCCAGCTCCTAGTATTATTGAGGGCACACATTGGAGAGCGAGCGGGAGTCTCCAAGCTGCAGGAGACTGGCCGTCACCTGTACCTCCGATATGCTGGGTACCGTAATCTAGCCAAAAAGCAATCATGATTCCCACTGTAATGCCAAGCTGCTGAAGCGCGACCAGACTTCCTCGAAGGTTTGGCGGCGCGAGCTCACTCAGGTATAGGGGAACAACCATGGACAACTGGCCGATCGACAACCCGGCAATGAAGCGGCCGATAAATATCATGGGAACGTTGATCGACGCAGCTTGGATGATCGAGCCGATGAGGAAGATGATGTTGGCTAGGAGAATAGTCCAGCGACGAGATAGAGCGTCAGCAATTGGGCCATTGACCAATGCGCCAACCATTGCTCCCAGTGTGAGTACTGCCACCATCCATCCTTGGAGAGTCGCATCTTCGGAGAGGGTTGGAAATTGTTTGGCCTGTAGGGATAGACGTTAGGTTGTTGAGACCCACGGGCGGCAAAGGAGTTGAACGCAGACTGACAAAATTGTTCATCACCAGAACGCCACTGATTACGCCTTGGTCGTAACTGGAGGAGCCTCAATCAGTCTTGCACTTCAATTTGATTTTTCATCAAAGAGGCCAGGAGTCCGCGTGAAAACTTACCCAAATAACACACCACCAATGCTTGCAAAACATGCGAGAAAGAAGATGTATGGCTCGTGAACGAGACCTTTGTAGCCTAGTAATGATGTTTAGTGATGCTCGTCATTCAGGCCAATACTTTGGGTTTGTATTACCAGCTGCGCCATACGAGATCTCCATGTCGAATATAGTATCTTATTAATAAGGTAGAAGTAGGAGCCTGATAGTCCAAGAAACAAGAGGTCAGGACTTGCAGCTGCAGGAGCAAAGAGTATGATTATACATGAAGAAGACGTAACACATCATCGGAGAATTGCCCCCCAGACGACCCACGTCAGACTCTCTGGGGTTCCTGCAACGACCGGGGAAACTGGGGAAAGTGGATGCTACTACGGTGCCGCAAGCCTGAATCTTGTTGTCGGCGCGCTGTGCTCCGAAGGTGGAGGCGACGAGGATGCTTTCATCAGATGACTCCAACTTGTAGTTCGTCGGCGTTGTTCTACCCGACATGCTTTCTTCATTAACATTAGACCCAATCCTTCCATCAACGTCCGAGAAAGATCAACTTTCACCCCGCTTTGGGTTCAACACCCTGGTCTTAATGTCATAAGGTACTTATGTCACGGCTCCATCTTTGGACTTCACAATGAGAGCGGTGGTTACCGCAGCCTCGGTTTGTCTCCCGCCTAAATTAGGTTACGAACACATTCGATTTGACGTGAAACTCGAGCAAATTCTTGTCAATTAGCTCCAGACTCATTTTTAGTGTGACTAATTCCCATCGTGTTGGTAACACTTCAAGACAACATATTCCCGATGACGATCCATTAGGGTTACTTCCAGCTGCTCTGGTAGAAGCCTTTACAAAGATGCCCTTTTGGTCTAGTAGTCAAAGATGACAATATCGTAGGCAGGAAGTCTGGTGTCATCAAGCTCCCTTCCAATGCCGTTGGTCCCGGATGCACTGTGTGCACAGCTTAGGTAGGTAATGTTCGATCTATCGTAATGACCGAAAATTGAAGGTGACGCCAATTCTGCCGCTGATTCAACATCATGGCCACAGATCCTTTGACCATACACGTGTTGGGTGAGTTAAAGAAGTCTTTGCAGGAGGAGAAGGCGGCACACTTTTCCCTTCACGTTTAGGAACATACATAAGATGCGGAGGACCATATCCAGAAAATAATCTCGTAGTGTTACGATATTTGCTTCACGTTTCTCCAAAATCGAATATTGCTTAATTCGCTAGATGATGGTAGGTTGAAGAGGCTAAGTTATGGCCCATTACACCTCATGGGTTTGCAAGAAAGAAGTATTCCATTGGGAAGTTAATGAGGGACTCCCCTAAAACACATGTTTCCTAGGCGATAAAACCAATTTGTTCTATGGTAACTATCGTCAACCCCTTAATGCCTCATTATCTGATTCTGCCTGTGATCCAAGCCACACCGCAACATGGCGACTTTGGACACCAGGCATGCAACTTAGGAAGTCACAAAATGCAATGCTGCGCGCACTGGCCCTTTTCGAGCGTTATGTTATTTGTGAAAACCTCACCTATTTTGGATTAATCCTTCATCATCGAGATGCCGATCGATACGCGCGGCATACAACAGACTGGAGGCTTTTGTCCGTCGTACTTCATAGTCTTTCTGGCTTAGCACTCTGACAGCAAGCCACAATATTGTCGCCCCTGCCGATGGAACTGCGTCTATTCCTCATTGCGTTATTCATCAGGCGTTGTGGCTTGACAGTTCAAGCCACCAGATTCTAGGCTGCCAAGTCGAAACGGCGAAGGGCGGGAGTGGGTGCCGAGCTCGGCGTTCTATCTGGGCTCGTGCACTGAAAGGGAACAGCAAAATTTCGTACAAAATCATGAAGCAAAGGTAAGAGAGGTAAGTCGGCTCGTTCCGGTGCTTTCCCTCGAAGTCGTTCACGTTCTTACATACATGCGAGCAATAGTGGCATGCTGTCTGCTGTCCTTCGTAGGTAGTTGTGTGTGAAGCGAGATCAGAGTCGTTCAAACTTGAGCGAGAAAAGCCGCGAAACCGTTCAGGAAGCGGAAGTAGGCGACTTCAACATGGCTTTTGTGAAAGCGGATGTAACGGAAGCGACCGCGCGGCCTCCCGAAGATGGCGACGCCCTCAAGCCCATGAAGCCAGGAACACTTGGGTCTAGTCCTCCTTGGGCACAAGTGCTCAGCCGGACTGTCACTAGTCGCGCTAGTACCTGGCATCGACTCATCATCTGTGCAATCAGAGTCGAGATCGGCAAAATTTCTTCCGTACTCGCTTTCGCGGCAGTCTAGTGTAGACCGGCGCCACGATCGGCGCGAACCTTGCCCTTTCTGGACCTCATGATAACTTCACTTCTGCTTTTTCGCTTCTTCGCACATAGATTGCGGTTTTGAGTGGCAACTGCTGTGGTAATATTGATGCATGGCTTCTGCTTCATCATCGCAACAGTTCAGTCTTGAGCAAAGTTTTAGAATTTAGATGGCCTTATATGTAAGATCGGAAATATAGTAAATTTCGATGTACTTAGATGAGGGTTCATCAAAAAGCAAGACCGGAAACACCCTGTCAACTGACGATATGAACACATGTCTTAAGATGCTTTGAGGCATTTTCTGTCCTAAAGGCCAACTCCTGGCCGAGAATCTGATAACAGTGAAGCTTGTGGCACAAACAGTAATATATCCGAAGCTGAAATTCACCTGATCAGCTCAATCGAATATTACTCTAGTCGAGAAGCACCGGAAAATTTGGATGCCTCCGAATACTCATGGGAAAATCCGAGCGGGAAGATCGCGTAATGTTTCCTAGGCATGTTATGCTGTGCACTTCTTTGTTCCAGACTTCTCCCCGGCATCCACTTGTGTGGAACTACATCGATAATCGCTTTCCCATCTTTTTGGGTTTCCCAGGAAGCTTATTTTGGTCTTAGCTGCTCAATAGATTGATCGGCGACATGCGATAGGAGCACAGCGCATCCTCGTCGTCCGTTCCGTCGGTAACACCGTAGGACTAACATAACAAAAGCATGGCGTCTACTCGCTTAGCGCCTTACGATGCAGAGTAGTCAGGGACTGTCCCTCAAATTTTCTCATCTGCCGAAGCAACATCATAGGTCAACAAGCGGTCTCTCACCACTTTGCTGGACTATTGATCGTCAGCCGCCCGTTACCCCTGCTGACAACCCCTGCATATCCGAGTCCAGACTCCTACGCAAGCTGGGGATCTCCACCAGGCACGAGGGGTTGAGCTAGGTAAAATCTGCTGTTTTGGGTCCGTGGACTCTCAGCTACAACTCCCGTTGCGAGCTGAATTCCTCAATCTAGCAACGGGCAAGGCGGCTACACGCTCAACCCACGTGGATCTATCATCGACCTGACCCAAGAACACCAGCGACTCAAGCCCAATACAGCCATCTGTGCGGCCTTAGGGGTCCAGAATCTGTTACCAACAGTCTGGAAATGCTGTCTAGCAGGGGAGCAAGGGCCTTTAGAGCGAACAAGACACGGCCGCCTTTCCCAATCCCATGGTACAGCTCCGTGGTCCAGCTCCGGGCCTAGTCGTCCACCGCTTCTTGCCGGCCGCGTGATGTGGAAATGAGCACTCAGCATCAACACTATTGTATGCATCGTGAAGATGAAGCGAGCCGTGGAGAGAGCTGCGCACTGTTGTCGTCGCAAGTGCGATATTGGCGAACTGAAGAGTGAAAAGCATTGGCTAGACTACGAGGTCAGAGGCCTCGTGGGATGAGTACATAAAGAACTGAGATATCCGCCATTATCGACGAAATATCTCATCAGTCAACTCAAGCCTCTTCGCTCCTCTTCACTCTCTTAACACCTTGAGCTCCGATCCTTGAAAGCTCTTTCTTTCGATCGACTTCTCCAGTTCGACAGAGATCATTCAAAATGCGCTCTGCTCCTATCATCAGCGCCTTTGTCGCGCTCGCCAAGGCCCAAGACCTTGTCTGGCAGGTCATTGACGATGCTCCCGAGCCGCCTCACACCACCGTCCCCGTTGGTGCTACCCCGACCATCGTTCCTTACGATGCCAACGCTGCTGCCGCCAGTGTCGTCGCCGAGGTCAAGGCTCCCGAGGGACAGTACTGCTCCTTGTACTCCAAGTCCTGGGACAACAGCTATGCCGTCAACAACGGCCAATGGCGCGGCAGTGACCACTACACCATCTCTTACAGCTTCTCCTACACCAACGCCACGGATGCCGGCAAGCCCAGAATCCCCTGCGCCGTCGCCAGTGCCAGCTCTGCCATTGTCACCTCCAGCCTTCAGCCTTACTGCTCTTCTCTCCTCGGCTACACGACCCCGGTCACCACCGCCACAGAGACTGACTTCACTACCATCCCTGCCACCACGGTCGTCTCGACTGTCACTCCCTTGACCACTTCTTACAGCACCACCACCCAGCTGGTTGCCGTCACCAAGCAGCTCAAGCGTGACCTGCCTCCCCGTCCCACCACTACTTGCCTCCACGATGATCCCACTCCCCTCGACCACTCCATCAAGGTCAGACGTGGTCTCTGGGCCCGCGATGAGCCTCTCGTCAACGGTACCAAGGATGATGACGGAAACTTCGTCGATGTTGTTGCCCTTCCCGATGTCACTCCTTCCAACACCACCACTCTTAGAAAGGCTCGCCGCGATGGTACCCCCGCTGGTCTTTCCGGATTCTCTGGTATGTTTCATTCTCCTCTGTCTCAACCCGCTTGATACTAACTGCTATCTCCAGCCGATGTCGTCTCTTCTGCTTGCTCTCTGCTCGCCACCCCCGTAACCAGCACCATGACCGCCTCCGCTACCACTGTCCAGACTATCACCAGCGGCGCGGCTTTGAGCACCACCACTGCAGCCACCAGCACCGTCATCGTCGTCCAGACTGTCACTTCTACTACCACCATCAACGTCGCCGCCAGCGCTCCTACTGGTACCATCGGCTACCTCAGCCTCAACCCCATCGTCAACCCCAACTCCCAGTACGCCCTGTCCGACGATGCCACCCACATGACCGACAACTGGTACAAGCAGGGTAGCCGTGAGACTTTCATTGTGGCCGCAGACGGCAGCCTCTACTCTGTCACTCACAACGCCTACTACTACATCGACACCTCGTCCACTTACAGCTTGCTCTACTGGTCCAACAACAAGAGCAGCGCCATGAAGATCTTCTCCTACACCACACTCGCCAACGGCAACTCCCAGGTCTTCATGAACTCCAATGGCAAGGCCTACCAGTTCTGCATCCGCCAGGCGAGCAAGGTTGGCGATGGCAACACCGGCTCTGGCCAGCACATCTACGCCTTCTCCACCGCGACTGCACCTCTCAGCTACTGCACTATCATTGATTTGATCATTATCCCTGCATAAGCGAATCGAGCAACTAACTTCGTTATGGTTTCATATCTCAACATTAGAAAGATGGCGTGGCGTTTTAGTGATAGGGGGTGATTTCCTTAATTTTTCTTAGACTCTTGGCTCTAGACTTCAAATATCAAGCAATAATTAATATTAATGAAAAGAATATCTAAAACACTTTGCACGTTCCCGCCCCAACAGTTCCTGATGGTCAACATGCCACGTTCCTAGTATAAGAATCGTGACAAGGAAGATGGCAAGATTTGGGTCGCACTTCGAGTCTAACAAGCCTGACATTATTTGATCTACGCAGCCATCTTCGCCGACTTTCTACAGTTCACGGACAATATTGGCGTACTATGATATTGGGATGCGGAAGCACTCTGCTGATACAAACGGGGCCATCATCAAAGCTCTTGACAATGTCCGTCTCTCTTGGGATGGTCTGTGAAGCAAGCCGTATTCCCCACCCAGCTCCCCCGCAATTCATCCCGCATTTGTGGCTTTTGAGTGGCGTACATCGGGCGACTGTGCTCCGAGGACAACGTCTTGAGGGGTAGAGCAAAAGTTCGGAGTTTGACAACTTGTCTGATGAGGCGTATGCAAGCTTGATAATATCTTAAGACTCTCCAAAGAGACCTGAGATGTCCCACGCAGCCTCGAGAGATTTCTGCAGAGACGATAAACCATACTTGAGCTCAATTTCGGCCCTCTGGCCCCCGATGTTCCACATGAGTCGAACTATTCATGACAGGGACTGAACGTTGAAGAACGAAGTATGCCGAACTCTAGCCGCCGATGTCCCAATCCAAGCACCGTCCGGGCCTGCGTCAACTGCCAGAAGCGCAAAAGCCGATGCATGAGAGGCAGCGCAGCCAACGACCCATGTTCTTACTGCGCCAAAACAGGCAAGACGTGCAGCTTTGAGAAGCCCCCTGATCGGACGCCTTTGACCCGGAAGAACCTCGACGCAGCCGAGCTCCGGTGCAAGCAGCTCCAGAATCTCATCAGATCCTTGAACCCGGAGCTTGACATCAATTCAGCCCTCGGAGAGACGCAGAACCAGCAGGAGTCAGTAGGAAATGAAGATGATGACGGAAGCGGCTCGTTACATTCCCCGCTGGGAGACTCGGATGAAGTCACACCTCATAGCTACGAATGGCACGAAGGGTCGCTGTCGCCAGAGTTCAAATCTTCAGGCCACGAGAATGACGGAATGGCCATGCTACCAACCCACGACTCTGGTTACTTAGGTAAGCCTAGCCATGTTCTAGAATGGCCTGCGGAGGACAGTTGACCGATGAGCGATGCCTAACGTCAACTCTTAGGGAGCAGTTCCGGTTCCCAGTTGCTTGGGGAGATCGACTCCGTGATCCACGTTGCGCATCCAGCCACTCACCACCACACATCGCATCGTAAAAGACAACGTAGATCATCCAGTTCAGCCGGATTCGCGGTACCTGAGCCTTTCGATCTGCCATCGTCATACATCGCTGGCCGGTTGATCGATGCCTACTTCCTACTCTACAATACCTCCTACCCGGTTCTTCACGAGAGGATTTTCAGAGAAAGGGTTGAAGCAGGGCGTCGTCAACGGCCCACGAACTCACCATGGCGTGTCGTCTATCAAATGGTTTTAGCCATCGGCCACTGGCTCTCTAGCACCGAGTCAGAGCATCTGCAGTCAAGCTACTACAGCGCAGCGCGGTCCAGTCTGTCTCTTCAGATGCTTGAGTCTGGCACCATCGAGACAGTTCAGGCGTTTTTGCTTATGAGCAACTACCTACAGAAGAGAGATAGGACCAATACTGGCTACAACTTTAGCGGTTTGGCGTACAGAATGGCGTTGGGTTTAGGTCTTCATCGCGAACCTCCAGGGTTAGAAGATACTTTAGGACATGAGCGGCGACGGCAGCTCTTCTGGACTATCTACTGTTTCGAGAGTGGTTTTAACATCACCACCGGGAGGCCACCCGCGATGTCAGAAGATTTCATAGATACCCGGATTCCTCGAAATATCGACGATAAGGTGTGTTGTCTTCCTAAGTTTCGATCCTTTTGATTCCTATTTGCTCATTTCTTCTAGGAACTGCCTCTCAAGGCACCGGTTCCGCCACCGGTCAATTACCCAACTACCTACTCAGCAATTATCGCCCAAGCAAAGCTAGCCAAAATTGCTGATGCTGTGTATCATGAGTTTCTACTGGCAAAAACCGCCGGAACAAAAGTCGAATACAGAGTGGCCGAAACAATGGACCGAGATCTGAACTGCTGGGAACAAGCTTTGCCCGCATATTTCACCCAGACCGACTGCCCATCGTGCTTCCGGGCGCCTCGAGCGGTCGTGCTCTGGAAAGAGCAGAACCTTCGCATTCTCCTCTGGCGCGGCAGTCAGCAACACCACAGCTACCTGCCCACCAAAGTGAAGGCGGAAGAGAAGTGCCTGAACGTTGCTATGCAAAGCATTCATGATATTGCTACTTTCTGTATGGCGAATGAAGTTTCTCTACACCAGGGTATCGTGTGGTACGCGACATACTTTCTTTTCCAGGCCACTCTAGTCCTGGAAGCAAACTATCTCACCAAAAGCACTTCCACAGACCAAACCGACAGACTTGCATGGCAGCACTCAGTCTCCAAGTCACGCGCCTGCTTAAAGACCTTGGCGCAGAAGAGCAGATCGGCGAAACGATGTCTGGAGATGCTGGATCGCATCCACAACCAGTTCCAGTTTCTACCGCAATTGGACTTGGGATTGGATCAAGCCTACTTCCAATCCGTGGTTCCTCAAATGTTAGATGAGGCTGAAGCGAGACCGGCGGCGTCCCACTTTGTCGCGCCGACCCAGAACTTTGCTGATCTGCCGAGTGAGAATGACTTTGCCTTCTATAGTGAAAGTCAACCAGCTTTTGATGACGATGCTGCGGACCCAAGCCTGCGGATGCTGCTCAATGAATCTTCCATAGACTTCATGGAAAATATGCCGCTCGACCTATTACTTGGGGATTGGACGTCTTGATGTCATTTTTAAACATGAGTGACTGATCGTCCATGACAAAGTCATCACACACAATAGTGGTGCCACGAAGCTTTGTTACATCAAGGGGAAATAAAGTGTTTCGCATTCCTTGTCATGGACAATTAAAGTGTACTAAAAAAAGCTCTTCAAAATGGTACAGCATTCACAGGGATGCGATGCTGATCTACGTGCTCAAACGCGCTCAAAAAACCTCCCATTGCTCTATAACTAGGCGAAAATACTCTAATCGCTCAAGCCATAACAAAGTCTACACAACTTTCGTATGTCTGCTTCGCCGCAGTGCCAACCCAGAACCATTGAACGACGCACTGGCCAGCCTGAGCGCAGGTGCCCGCGGGCAGGTTGGAGGGCATGGTGATGTCAAAGTCGGTGTTGTTCTTGGGCAGTGCCGCGAGGTTCTCGTCGGCGTAGCTGTCGAAGACGATGAGAGGTTGTCCGATAACCTTGTTGGTTGCGGTATCGACAATGGAGACATTCATGGGGCCCTCGTGGGGGATCGGGATCTCGGCCTTCATGTTGACGACCTGTCCAGCCTTGAAGGTCTGGACATTGGCCTTGTTGTCCTCGAACTTGGCTCCTCTGCATAGATCAAGTTGGCCTTGGGTAGAGTGTTAGTAACTTGGGTCATTCGCTCATGTACCATAGGCTTGCTTACATGTTGCAGGAGGGTTGGTGAAGTCTTCCAAGGGAATGGTGGGATCGGCCGTCACGGCCTTCACGTTCGCTTGTCCACACGCTGCAGCCATTGCGGCGCCGACACCACGGGCAGGAGGCGAGACGAGACGATGTTGCCATGAGCAGAAACCAAAGCGGCGAGCAGCGCCGTGGCGGCAGTGATTGAAGCGCGCATCTTGAAGTAATTACTTGGGATGTTTGTTTATCGGCCTGTGAAAGCGGAAGTGCAGGTAGTCTCGCGGTTTTTGAATAAAGAACAGTATTTGGATTAGACAAGATTGAAAGAAACGAGTGACCAGCACGATGATATGAATGATGAGACAAGGCGAGCAGAGACCGGACGATGCAGCGTCAAGGCCAGATGGGCGGCCTTGCGACTACAAATACCACAACTCGGCCTCAGCCCGACGACGATGTGATCCTTGTCGCTGACAGAGAGATGTCAATGATCCGACGCTGATGACCCGGCGATCATAGCTTCCAAGCCATCCTCCCATAATCCTTGCGGTCTGCGGAGGCTAACCGTTGGCCGGAACCACGGGAGCTAACGTGGTACCCCGTTCTTCTCTTTGCACACGACCAACTGCAAGTTGCCATCGTTGAAAATAAGCCGAGGGTGATCCCTGGAGCGAAACAAGCGTTGTTGAGGCTCTCCAGGTACGAAAGCAAGACAAGCTTGGTGGGATCCACGCGGGTGAAACGTCGCAAGTTCTTGAGCCGCTCTGCTTCCGGTGCGGACGGTTGTGGACGTGGTCACAACTCGCGAAACCTGCGACAAACCCTGTCTGGGGGTTCGGGCGTTCGCGCAGCAAGAAAGCGAGAAGCTCAGAGGGAACCAATACTTTGATCCTTAGAGAGATACGAGAACCAGCACTTTGTGCAGAGTTCAAGCAAAGAGCGATTTGGGAATTTGGGTTATTCTCGAGTCATCGAGCTATCATAATCGGGGCGACACCAAGCGCTGATTGCAGTGCCAAGCCGTCAGTTTGGATGTTGGAACCGCGAAAGATCGGGATGGTGGGTATGATTGAACCGGTGCTCCGGAACGCCACGGCGCGCCATGGCGGCGCCCCAAGTCTTGAGCAATCCGGCCACTAGTTGAGGACGAGATCTCCGGCTCGGCGGCCGGGGTCTTTATTCTGGGTGCGCTACGGGGCAGAACCCCTTGCCCATCGGCCCTGGACCTCAAGCAACGCCAAGTCGTCTACAACTTCCTACGTGAGAGATCTGCGAGTCATAAGGCTATCTTAAGCAGATTACCAGCCAGGAATGTTACGCTATGAGGAGGCGATCACTCACCTACCAAACTGCGACTGCCGGACCGCACCAAGTTGCAAGCTCCTGAGCGTCAGAGTTGGCAGGCGAGAAATTCTAACGTGAGGGGGGGACAAAGTGCTTCCAGGCCCCTGCTGACAAGACCAGCCTCCCTTGAGCGTCAGCAAAAGCCAGAGAGAAACATGACTCCTCAGGGAAACTAAGATGCCCCCTTTTTCGGCATTGACAGCAGACTGTCCCCCTCGCAACCCGGTTAGGCTCGCAAGAAACCGAGTTAAAAAGCCTAATTAGTGGACTTTGCCCGCAACCATCGCCCACTTGAAGGCACGGCGCATACGCATAAACTGCTATTGCGGACTTTTTGAGGGGAGTGCGGAGAAGTGGTACCTTTCGGTGGAATTTCGCAGAAATGAGTAGAGAGGAGGGCCTTGGGAATTGATGAGTTTACCAACAAGACAGCCGTGGCTCTCTTCGCAACGTCCATCCGATAGAGAAGAGAGTTCGTTCCCGCCCGCAACTGCCCGAGCTGTCTTTCAGGAACACGGCACTTGGCATCCTGAATAGACGGTTACTAGGCGATCCGGCGAACTTTGCTGACCCTGAATAATGTAAGTGTTGTTTCTTCGGGAACACGGCAAGTAGATAATCTGCGCGCTTTTGTTTCCAGGCTTCCTTAGTCTGAATTGAAAGTTTTCGCGCGCGGCATTTTTTGTATACCTATAGATGATGTCTTATTGCAGACATTGGATGGTTTTTTGTTAAGTGAAGGAAGATGGAAGATTATCCCGACGGTGCGAGGGCATTCCTGTTGATGGCACTCAGCGGAGCGCCAATGCGTCCATGCCTAAACCAGTCGCATTCCGAGCTCAGGCGGAAGGTTCTTCAAGGCACTTGAGAGACTGAGAATCTTGACTGTTCACATATTAACCCCCATAATAGCCCCCTTTGTTTCAGTACTCAATGGGAAAAAACTTTGATGATGATGCGTGATGTGGGTAAAGGTTTTCTGCCTGCCAAGGGCGTTGGAAGTGTAGTAATACCTGGTGACCCTCCACGACTGAAAGGCTCATGGTATTACGATGCACCGTCTAATGATTTGAAGCAGGCAAGCATCGATTTTGGCCATATCTAAACTACTTCGGCTGCGCGCGGAAGTTATTTCGCGACAAAGTCAGTATAGCAGGTTCCTTAGCGTTACAAGCCTCCGAGCTTTATATCCTTATGTACCTTTATGAGGTAGGATTGTTCAGCAAGCTAGCTTTACCTGTTAAGTCAACATACCCACTTCCTGGCACCCCCCTGTTTCTGGCACCCACAAAAACGCGAAAATCCACCACAACCCAATGCCCACCCCCAACCTCCTTTTATCACAACATTTTCAATTCGCGTCCAAATGGGCTCATCTTTTGCACATGTCTTCTTCTATATATAATGCCTCAATATACCGAAGATCAGCTTCGTCAGGCTCTCGAGGA